CGCCCATGTAGACTGACCTTGTAAGTCTTGGCACAAGACTGACTCGGGAAAGACTGAGAGAGTGAAAATCCCATGGCCCTGCCGCACGTTCGTGACTTCGGAAAACTGATATGGTAAGTATCCCACAGCCCTGCCACACGCTCGTGATTGCGGACGCTGAAATGGCGAGACCATTGATGTTGTTGCTCGTCAACACGATACGATAGCAACTTCAGTTCGCAACTTCCCCCGTGGATAGTCAAGTTCGGCCTCCGCGCCCATCTCCACCATTAAATCCTATTGAACCGGGATCGAAAAATAAAAAGGGAAATCCGGGGGGGATATGATTTATTATCTGGGATACTCGGTTATCACCCACGCCACTCAACATCGCCGTCTGCGCCTCCTTCCCGAGCCCGCATCCACGAAACCGTTTGGAGCCCGTTTCTTCATTCTCCATTTGGGTCACCCCCCACTACCACCCGCCCGACGCTGTGTCAAACGGGCAACTCCCGCGGCGGCAGTGGCAGCGAACCCTGTCCCAAACGCTCGAGGGCAGCTGCACCAACATTCGTACCCACCCGTTCCGTACCCGTTCTCATCGCACCGATGCCCTGAGATCCGACGTTGCGAACAAAGATGCCACGTTTGAGAAAATTAGGACCTGAACCCTAGACCCCATCTTCCTGCAGCATGTTCCAAGCCAACCCGATGATCCCTGGACCCGAAACCGAGCGAAATGACCTGATGTGGAAGAAAGCGACGCCATGATCTCAAGGCAAAAGGCGTCGCCAGGCGCTCTTGGGCGACGCAGGCTCAGCCCAGGCCCGCCCGAGGCGCTGCCGCTGGCCGCGCAGGCTCGCCAAGGCAGCCCGAGCGCGGCGGCTGTGGCGGCCGTGCGGCCCGTGACAACTTGCGAACGAGCGGGCGTCAATCGGATGCCTTTGGACCCACGGCGGGAGCTGGTCCGTCCGCGACCCCCAAACCCACAGATCCCACGCATAGAAGGCGCTGATTCTGATTTTTTCGAACTCTGGGGGTCCTCGCCAAGTGTGAGCTGTGTGATGTAAGCGATACCGTGTAGGCTGTGTGGTGCGAGTTGGAGGTGGAGGCTCCGGGGCTAGGCTATGTGATGTAAGCGGCGTTCTGTAAGCTAGGCGGTGAAAACTATGTGATGCAAGGCAAGCTGCGTGGAGTAAATGCGGTCAAAACTCAGTCGCATAAGCTGAGGGCGTGGGTCAATTCAGAGCCGGGCGCAAAAGCTGGGAAGGACTTCGCGGGCTGACGATTCGAATCCGCAGGGGCGGACAATGCGAGGCCGCCGGGGCTGCTTTGGCCAGCCCTGATTGGGAAGTAACAATTTCTGATCCGCCAGTCCAGCGCGGAAGGCAGACAGGACTGTGGTGCCTTCAGACAGCGACCTCCTTCCCCACCTCCTTTTTCCTATCCTCCTCCCCCTCGTCCTCCTCCTCCTCCTCGTCCTCCTTCCCGTCGCTCTTCTATCCCTTGCCACCTTCCCCCTGCTAGTTATGTTCCTCTCCAGTGGTTCAATATGAATATGGTTCCCCGTTCTCCCCTGCTGCACCCCGGAAGATTGCATGCACCCCTCCGCGTATTGTGTTTTTACTTGCACACAGGTTTGGCGCGAACCCGTTTCTCATATTTGTTGCTTCGATCGGAACATGTCCGGCTCTTCCAAAACATCATTGCCGCTGCAACGCTGCCCTCATTCTAGAGTTTCCACTCGGTTCGAATCCTCCCGCGTGCTACGTTTTTAACACAGAGGATTAGAGGAGTGCGATGTTCATATATGTTGTTGAATCCGAAGTTGTTCGGTTCTTCCGACACGCTGCTAACGGGGAAAGAGGGCCCCCAAAGGCTGTCTGGACGGCCCACGCGGGGGGCGATTCGGCCCAAACCGTCCAAGATTGCCTCCAGACAGCCCCATGGGCATCCAAGGCGTTTGCATACGCGACCACGAGGCGCCCCAAGCAGGCCTCCAGAAGCAAAAACCGTCCCATTCCCCAAGGAAAACGTACATTTTCACACATTCGCTTCTTGGGTTTCCACGAGGCCCACAACGGCCCAGTAAACCTCCAAGATCGACCTCTGGCACCCCGAGAGACTTTCCAAACAACTCGACGACGGCCTCCGGGCGCCCCACGAAGGCCCCAAAAACCATAGCAACGGCCCGGGGGAAAGGCAGGACGGTCCTAAGAGGGCTCTTTTCGTGTCCAGGGGGGCCTCAAAAGCTGTCCAGACGGCCCACGCGGGGGACGAGCTGCGCCCCGAGGGGTCTGCGGCGTGGCGTAAGCCAAGGAATCTCAACGCAACATTCACAAGATCAGTGGGCGCACAAATTGATCCAGCTCCTGTGATGGCCGCATCTGCCATCCCACCGTCGTTTGCTCCTGCGCACACATTCCTTCTGCACCGACATGTTTCCCGAAGAGGTGCCGACACTCAGGTTTGTTTTTTGCCGAAGATGAAACAACTGCATAAACATAAACGTTCGGCGGTCCTCCGTGGATTTCCTGGACTTGCGCTGGGACGCCCTAACGGCGATTCCAGCGCCCCCTCTCCGCAATCCTCCTCCCGCGGCCGCGGGTGATCAAACGAACGCAGGAGGACGAATAGAAAATCAGTTTCCGCAAGGGGGTAAAATAAAACGCCAGGGGGGCACACGATTCAAAAAACAGTTTCTGGCGGCTGAATTTTATTAGTCTGCCCCACTCATTAATCGTTTTCTGAATCGGCGGGGACGGGACGTCTGCCCGGGACGGCGGGGGGCATTTTCTGAATCGCTTGCCCCCATTAACCATCTTGTGTTCTACTACAGAGGTATAGTCATCCACCACCCTGCCCCAAGGCACGGTTTGGATTGTCCTTGATCCCTGTGAATATTGAATCCGCCAAACATTGTATTTCAAAGGGCCCGGAGCCCGGATTGCCGGATCTCCTCAGGAGTGCTGCGTGATGCCGCAGACCACTCGGAATTTCCCGCATGGCTTTCCTGGAGGCCAGAGGGCCCCGAGACGTGCGAAAGAGTGCCCCGAGGCGCCCCCAGGACGGTCCAGGAGGACCCCGAGACTGCTCAAGAGCGCGCCAAGCAGGCCCAAGATGACATCAAGAGATCCAATGAAGCCTTCAAGACTCCTCAGAAGATCCGAAAAGGGTCCCCGAAAGACCCCCAAGGGGCAACCGTTATTGATTGTCCCCGATACGTTTCAGGATTTTGGCGTTCTGGCCTTTTCGGGCTTTGAACGGTCCAAGACAGGCCAAGAGGCCCCGAAGACCGAAGACGGTGGAAGAGGCCTCCAAGGTTGCCCCAGGACGGCCCAAGATAGCCCAAGAGGCCTCCAAGACGGCCCACAAGGGGCCCAAGATGGCTCCCCAAGAGGCTCACTTCCGCCCCCTTCCTCCTCAAATCCCACACCCCGATCATCGAACCTCCCTCCTCCCTCCTCCTCCCCTCCTCCTCCCCTTCTCGTCCTCTCTACTCTCCTCCTCGATCCTCAAACCTCCCTCCTCTTCCCTCCTCCTCCTCCTCCTCCTCCTCCTCCTCCACCTCCCTGTCTTCTTCCTCCTCCTCCTCCTCCTCCTCCTCCTCCTCCTCCTCCTCCATCTCATTCTCCCTCCTCCGCGCCACCGGTCCATAGGCCAGTGCCAGGTCCCTCGGCAAGCGAGGCCCATGTCGCGCCCATGCTCCAGGCTCCAGGTTGCGCTTCCGCTTTTTACCCGAGAAGCTTCCAACTATATGCTATATATAACCTGCCGCTCGGAGGCACGCTGACGCAATGTCCCCGTCGAGTCACACAGGTCCTCCTCCGCAACCCTCGAGCCCCGAATCCCGATCCTTGATGACCCCTCCTCATCCGTGCCCTCAGCCACAGTATTCGACCCCCCTCCCTCTTCCTCCTCGATCGCTACACGGCGGTCCGGGTGCCACCCCATTAAACATGCCGACTAAACATTGGTGAAAGTTGGGCGCCCCAGTCGCGAGAGGTGCGACGGGTCCCTCTTTTACATGCTCATTGTGGGGGCCTTCCTGCAGACACTCGCTCCACTTGTGCGTCGAAGCTGCGCCAACGTCTGTCGAGTCGAGCCGACCTTGAGTCGAACCGGAGTCGAATTTGAGTCGAACTCAAGTCGAACTTGAGTCGAATTTGACTCGAACTGAAGTCGAGCTGGAGTCGAACCGATCTGTTAGGTGGGCCCCAGGGAGGTTCCCCAAACGAGCATCTAACCTCTTCCTCCTCCTCCCTCACCCCATTCCTCCTCCCTTGGGGGGAGGGGGGACAACGAGATACAGCCGGGCCTTTGACTGACGCAACGGAAAATAAGGCCCCCTGTTTCCATAAGTGAAGCGTCGACTTCCGAACGAAAGGCAAACTGCAAAACATTGTTGGAACACGGAGCCCCTCCCGAACGAGAAGGTCTCCTTCTTCAGCACCCCGACTGCACAGATACTGCGACCCCCCCCCGGGGGGCAGCCGATCCCCCGCGGAGGGGGTCGAAGCGAAGCGACGCGGAACGAGGAGGGGCGAGGAGGAGGGAGGGAGGGGGGCGAGGAGGGAGAGATAGGGAGGGACAGCGGGAGCGAGGAGGGGGAGGGAGGGAGCGAGGAGGGAGGGAGGGAGGGAGGGATAGAAGGAGCGAGGAGGGAGGGAGGGAGGGGCAAGGAGGGAGGAAGGAAGGGAGGGGCGAGGAGGAAAGGCGAGGGAAGGAGGGGCGAGGATGAGGGAGGGTGGGAGGGAGGGAGGGAGGGAGCGAGGAGGGAGGGAGCGAGGGAGGGAGGGGCGAGGAGGAGAGAGGGAGCCAGGAGGGAGGGAGGGAGAGGCCAGGAGGGAGGGTCGGGGAGGGAGGGGGGGAGGAGCGACGGGGGCCCCAGGCTCGTTGAGGAGGGCCGGCGACGACGACGCCGACGACGACGGCGACGACGGCGACGACGACGACGACGACGACGACAGGGCGGCGGCGGCAGGGCCCCAGGCAGGGCGGCGGGGCTGCCGCGCGCCCGCCTCGCGGAGCATGCGGCCCTCCTCCCACCGGCGGCGCTTCTCGTCTCGCCTCTGCCGCAGCTCCTCCTTGGTCATCCTGGGGGGGATCCGGACGATCCCCTTCTCCCTCGAACGAAGGATTGCAAAAAAACTCCTCCTCCTCCTCGTCCTCCTCCTCCTCCTCCTCGTCCTCCTCCTCCTCCTCCTCCTCCTCCTCGTCCTCCTCCTCCTCCTCCAAAACGAAGGATTGCAATCCTCCTCCTCCTCCTCCTCCTCGTCCTCTTTACGCCAGGCGGGCTTTCGGGCCAGGCCTGTTGCGCTCTCTGGGAGGAAGAAGGGATTGCGCCGACTTCGGGCGGGGATAACAGATTAAGGCTGCCGCCAGTGCGGACGCCAAGAATGCCCAAGTAAATCGTAGAATCGTCCGTTTCTTCCTTCTCTGCATCATCTTCCTCGGTCGGTCGGTCGATCGACGAAGGCAGCGCCTGGAAACGCATGCCACGTGCGACTCGAGAACAACGATGGGATGCAGAATACATGCAGCTTTAGCAGCAGATGTGCAAACACTGGGTGGTACGACCTTCCGAAGACAGGAAGACCAAAGGGCGCACGCACAAGGCCATGAGCCGCGTGAAGGATACGATCACCATCATCATCATCATCATCATCATCATCATCATCATCATCATCATCATCATCATCATCATCATCATCATCATCATCATCATAATCATCATCATCATCACCATCATCATCATCATCATCATCATCATCATCGTCATCATCGTCATCATCATCATCACCATCAGCACTACCAAAACAACATCATTAACACCACTATCACCAACATCACATTCACAACCATCATCAGTACAATCATCACCATCATCATCAGCATCATCATTACCATCGTCATCATCATCACCATCATCATCCTCATGTTCAATGTCATCAAAGTCATCATTCTCATTATCACGATTATCGTCATCATCACCATCCGCCCCACGACGCAGGACTGAAGACAAAGGAGTCGATGCCTGCTCCACCTCCTTGTCTTTTTCGACGTTGCGCGTTAATGGAGATCAGACCTTTTTGAATCCACCTCCTCGTCCTCTTCCTCGTCCTCTTCGCTCTTCCCCCACACCCTCCCACTCACCCTCTCCATCGTCCCTCTCCTCCTCCTTGGTCAGTCACCCTCGGAAGGAGGGTAAGGGGGAGGACATGCAGCGTGAGGATACATTCGGCCGAAGGCAAGACTGGAGTCCCTGCGGGCCGGCAGGGATGATGGTATCAGGCTCTGCGGCCGTTCCGGAACGCCGCGGAATGCTCCGAGGAACCCTCTGAGAGCGTTCCAGAACGCTCTGGGGCGATCTTTCCTCATCCACTCTTTCTCCTCAAAAGAGGACGTGGAACAGAACGGAATGCATCCCCATCTCTTCCCCGACTTGGAGGAAGACGCGGAACGGAACGAACTTGCCTCGGCCCGTGGGCTGAGCAAGAGCAGCCATCACCTCGACACATCAAAATTGTCGGCGACGGCTTGGGCCCATGACGCGGTCGGAGCAGGGGAAGACACCCAAGCCGAAGTGCTCATCGCAGAAAAAGGAGCGAGCGAGCGAGCGCGCGCCAGGCGTCCCCCGGAGGGGGGGGGGACGGGCCGACTGGCGACTGGCGCGGAAGGGCCGTAACCCTGATTCGCGGCCTCCTCCATGCTCGGAGTGATGTCTGTGCTCTCAACGATGCGGTAGAACGTCGTCCTTCCGAATCGCTTGAAGCACTCCGGAGCAGCCTCTGCCCCTTTCTCGTTCGAGTCCTCCGCGTCGTTGTTTTCCTCGTCGTCCATCTTCTTGTTGCCCCGCTTCCCAATGCATTCCATGTGGACGCGTCCTCGTTGCCGAACTGCATATCGTGCTTGTCGTGGTCGGCCTCGTTCCAAAACTGCATTTTTCTTGTTCGCTTCACCGTCGAATTTGATCGAAGTCGGGTGTGGCGTTGGATCCGGCAACTATTCAGTCATGTCCTAAGGGGGCATACCCAGGAATTTGGGTACGGGCCAAACCCTTGGGGCATCGTCGTGCGCGCATATGCAGCCCTCGCGGCTTTCGGGGAAAAGCGCGTCGACCTTCTGATCGATGGTCCCAAACTCGTCGAGGCCCGCTCAGAACAGAAACACTTCCATCCTTTCAAGACGAACGCCGAAACGGATGGCGTGCTTCGTGAGGTCCTGCATCTGATCCTGGATGTAGGTTGTGTCCTCGCGCTGCTTGCCCATGCACGTGGAGCTCCCTTCTAGGCTGCACGCCCTGCGCGACACGTTCTCCAACTTCTCCAGAATCATCTGCACCCGTTCGTCGATGGAAGAATTCTCTCTCCTAGCTGACTCTGCCGGCTCTGGCCTGGGATCAAGCGTAAGGCCGCCGCCCGCGGTCAACCGTCATCCGGAACAGGGACGGGCAGCAACGGGCCCGCGCTGGGACACCTTGACACTTGCAACTCGAGGGACCTTCCTCCTCCTTCTCCT